GGCACGCGCGAGAGATTGAGCTTATTCCTGTATTATTTATAGACCGTCTCTGAAATAAACAAAGCCTCGAAACGACGGCAGTGCACTGGGCTCTGCCTCAGTTAACACACACTCCTAAAGTGCTCAGCCCTCCTGCCTTGGTCCGTCCTGCTTTCTGTTATAACCCCTGCTGCATCTTGTCTTCATTCAGGGCTCCATGAGCAGCCCAGGAGATGGAAATCAGTGGGACTCCTCGAGGCACAAGGTACTATTCCATGAGTAAGGAATCAGATACGCTCCTCTCTGCGTGTACAGCACCCAGCGCTGGGGGGCCCTGATCCCGGGGTCTGTTACTGCTGACCAGCCTGCCGGTGAACACACTTCTAGGCCTTATCACCAACACACAGTGTAAAGCCTTTAGTCATCCATCTTTGGCTTATGTCCCATTAAGGCAAATTAGTTCTGCCAACTCGTCCTTGTTCTCCAGCACCACATTCAGGACAGGGCAGGGCGCTGTCGGGGGAACTCCCTGCCTCAGGATGTCTGTCTGACTCCCTGCGTGGCTGCTTTCCAAAGCCATTGTAAACCGTTCCTGTGAGGTCAGCGATTCCATGAGCGTAGAATTCTCCCAGTTCTCATCTCGCAGTCTGCGCAGCTGGGTGGGGCCGGAGGTGGCAGTCCGTAGCTGGGCCGAGTCAGGGGTGAATGGGTGTGCTCCTCTTTGCAAAACGCCATGGGGTCCTCCAAGGTGGTCCCTGGGCATGACCCCACGCCTGGGTCTCCCATGCCCAAGCACAGGAAGCCTCTGGCCAGCATTTAACACAGGGAGGAGTGAAGCCCCATGGGGGACGTGTGAATTCCCACTCCACAAACCAAGAGCAGTGCTGTGAAAGCCAGCCCTGCCCCAGAAGCCTCCAACGGGAGGGGGATGAGCAAACAGGAGCTGAGCGGGAATCCTGCAGCAAGGTCGCCTTGGGAAGCCAAAGGGACACAGCGGGCTGAGAGCTCTGGGCAGGGGGACAGATCCAGGGAGCAAGCCAGAGCATGGCCCCAGGGAGCCTGCACCGCATGGTACCTGAGAATCAGTCAGGGCCCAAAGGGAAGGAGACCCCTGATTGGTGATTGAGCAGGTGGTGTGGGGCACAACCACGATACTCTTCATGTGGGCGGGCGGCCGTTGGCATGGAGACAGCAGGGAGCAGGTCTGCCTGAATCTGCAGCTGAGTGGTCAACCCAAGGCCGGAGCCAGCAGAGAAGGCCAGACCAGCACGAGGGCTATGCTGGCAGATGCCTACTGCAGCAGAGACCTGTCCTCAGCAATGCACCCTGGCGCTGTAGAGAGACTGGGGCTGGGGCAGTCCCATCCACCCAGACCCGCGCGGCTCCTGCGAGGTTGACAGGGCTCCACCCAGTCCTTCGTATTATTGCTGGGAGTGTTTCTTCAGCACCCCCCAGAGGGGTGTCTCAGGTTTACTCCAGCAGTGACTTTGGCCCAGCAGTGACGTGGGAGAGATGGGGAGGTATAATGCAGCAGGAGGAAGGGTGGACTCTCACCCCTCCGCCCCCATAGCAACACAAACCAAACCAAAGGTAGAGGTGACACCCCCAAGGCTGGAGTGTGTGTGTGTGTCTGTTTGCACTTCCGCTTGTTCATCTCCGGTGTCAGTCACCCCTTAGCAAAAACTGTCTGGCTCTGGCAAGAGGATCGTCCCCAGAGCCCTCCTCACGTCATGGCAAACAGGAAATCACTAGGGGAAGATTCACTGCATGGGCATCGAGACATAGAGGACCCTCTATAGCTGCTAACGGACAGCATGCATCTAAAAGCAATCAGGGGTGCACGTGTGTGCACTCTCATATGGGTGTCTGCACACACGTGCTTTTATGTGTACAGCAGCTGTCTGAATGAGCCAATGCTCTAGAATATAGTGCACATTTGTTTGGGGACGCACCCACTGCGCGCGCGCACACACACACACACACACAGCCTCCTCTCTCTCCCTCTCCCCTACCGTCCCACCAACTCTGACACAATCCCCCTGCTATTCCTTCCCGATTATTCTTCATAGCAGGAACCCATGGCAGGGGGAGGGGGAGCAGGAGCAGGGCCAGGGAAGGCGATGAACGGGACGTGTCCTCCCTGCAGGATGCTATCAAGGGGATCCACCACCTCGGAGTGGGAGGCAATTCAGGGTGAGGGGCCCCAGCCAATCCTGGCAGCATGGACCCTCCCTGGTCGCACCTGCAAAGTGGTGCCAGTTGCTGCGGATGGAGTCTGCGGGGAGCTGGGCAGGGTTCCCCCACCACGACGCTTTCTGAGTGCAAGGGCCATGCAGTCACGGAGCTGCACGGAGCCAGCACCAAGCGGCCAGCAAGGCTCTCTCCATGTGGGTGGCCTCGGCTCTGGTGATGCCCTGAGATCTATATGCACGGGGGGATGAAATCTCGCCCTCTTCGCTTTCTCTCAACAGAACAATGACGGGGAAACTCGGGGAGCTGTGTCTGCCCTCTAGCCTGCCCAGGGCAGCGCCGTGCCCAGTGTACACAACAGAAACCCTTTCAGTCTTTAGCAATGGGAGATACTGAGGGGAAGTGTCAGAGAAATCCAAAATTTCCCTCTGTCCATCCCACACTCAGCGCTGGGTGGCTGCTCTCCTCTGGCCTTGCCTCTGAGTAAACAGAATATGGCCTGGTGTTGGCAGACATGAGCCAGGATTCATTACCTCCGCTAGCTAACGCTGCCCCTGGGTGAGGGGCTACCACGACCCTCTCACTTCTTCCACAGAGGTGAGGTCGTCTTCTCCTTAGCCCGGTCGCAATGGGCCAACTTCATCCCTGGTGCAATTCCACTGATTCCAATGGCGTTACACCTAGGATGAACGGGATCCACTCTCAACATGGCCCTAAACATGCTCTGCACTTCACAAATAAGGAGACTCAATCTTAATCCACATCTACATATGGTCCATGGGACATCCCGTAGGCTGGTTTTCTAAGTGGAGGACATAGGTTCACATCCTGCATGTGGACCTTCAGATCAGCACTTGGGCCCCTGGAATGACACTTGTCTGCCTTTGTGCAATATGGCGTCCGAGTGAGGGATCCGGATGTTACAGCTTGAGGTCCCTGGCTGAGAACGAGGCTCGGGGCACGCCTGTCTGTGCACACCAGAGCCAGCCGAAAAGCAGGAAGAAATTGAGGAACATTTTTGGAAAATTGTGGTTGACGGTAAAATTTTGCTTCAGTTGAAATTTTCCAACTAGCTCCGATACGAGCGAGAACACACAGCCTCTCTTCCCTTTAGACCAGGGATTCTCAAACTGGGTGTCGGGACCCCTCAGAGGGGCGTGAGGTCATTACAGGGGGGGGGTCGCGAGCTGTCAGCCTCCACCCTAAACCCCGCTTTGCCTCCAGCATTTATAATGGTGTAATATATATAAAAAATTGTTTTTAAATTTATAAGGTGGGGGGGTCGCACTCAGAGACTTGCTGTGTGAAAAGGGTCACCAGTACAAAAGTTCGAGAACCACTGCTTTAGACTCTCTATTATACAGAGACGACAATCTGCTTCCTGTGGCAAATGGAAACTCAGAATAAACACGTGCACACAAACTCACTCCCCTCTCCAACGTGCATCCTCCCCACGCCACACACACTCACGTCCTGCAAACTCCCGCAATGCACATCCTCCTGCACCCCCCGCCCCACACCACACAAACCTGTGTCCAAAGCACACCCCCACACCTCACACAGCACTCCTTTACCGTACACATCTTACTATACGGACAGGGGGAGAAATGCACTCCCGCTTTCCCTTTCATATCAGGCCTCTCCGATTCCCTACACTATAAATCCAGGGGGGAATTCCCCCTTTTGACAACACTCCTCTCCACGAAGTGTAGAACCAAAGCTTCCCAGGCCTTTAGCAAGGGGTCCCTCTGTGGACTGCATATACAAGCATTGTACATTCATCTCCTAAGCAGGGTCCCTGTCTCCACAAGCACCCAGGCAACATTCCTCATATCCTCTTTATTCTGGATATTTCTTTAAACCCTTGTGGTTTTTCAGAATCTGCACTGGGCAAAACCCAAAGCAAGCTGGCTGCCAGACAACTCACAACCACCCACCTTCCGCTATTACTTAATTAGTGGATGTGTCTGATTCTGTTCCTTCGGAAACGCTCTCCCTGCCAAGGGAAGGGTTGAATCATTTGGCCCCTCTCTGGCAGCTACAAAGGAGGAGGAACGAAAGCCCTCGCCGTGTTATTTTAGCACATGAAAGCACGGCCTCTCTCTCTCCCTCTCGCAGCGGGAGGCAGATTTATGGGGAGCTGTGAACTCCAAAGGTAGGGAGCTTTGTGGGGCTTTAGCAAAACTTCCATGCTGACAAGCTCCATCATGCATTTTGCAGCTGTGCCCCGGCTGCCCCCCACCCATCTCTCCAGCTTAACTACTTCTGTTTGACAGGATGCAAATTCCTTCCCCCCCAGTCCCACAAAGGACTGAGCCAGCTCTTTTCGTGGTAGCTCCACTGCCCCATACACGGCGCTCCCTATCCATCAGCACCGGGATCAGGGATGCATCCCTGACTCAAACAGACAGCACCAGACTAGGATCGGCCTGTTTGTTCCTACGGGGCTGGCGGGGAGGGGGAGGCTGGGGTGGGGTGTAAGTCAGGTGGAATCGATTCAACCATGGTATCTCCTGCCTGGGGCTGGCTTCTTAAATGTGCTTCTGTACAGTGGGCTCAGGAAGAGGGAGAGAAGCTCTCGTGGGATGTCAGAGAGATGGACTGGAGAAAAAGAAGAAAGAAAGAAAGAAAGAAAGAAAGAAAGAAAGAAAGAAAGAAAGAAAGAAAGAGC